GATCCTGGGCAGAGGGAGACCTGCTTGGGCTTGTCCTTGGGATGTTGCAGAGCTTGGTGTCAGCAGAGATGATGGCTCATGCTCCAAATGGCCGAAGAGCTGCGTTTTATCTCAAGGGATCCAGGCTTGCAGATGTGTCCACGCAGCTGGAAGAAGGAAGGGGGGAAACTGGGATGATCGCTCCCTAAATATAAAGCGAAGAGACAAGGACTTGCATTGTGTGACCTGTAATTGGGGTGAGCTATTCATAGGGAAAAAATGCCCATTTCTCCAGTCGGTGGTGAGTGAGGGCTAGGATAATGTTTGGGCCTTGGGCAGCAAACCACTGACTTGGTTTTTTTTTTTATATAGCAACATTATTTTAATAATTCTTTTCTAGCACGCAGCAGGGCTGCTGCAAAGTCTGCCCTGATACTGTCATACGTGCATTTCCTCTAAGAAATCGGGCATAGCAACTTGTGATCTCCGTTCCTTGGGTGCCTTGAGCTGCAAGAGGCCAAATAACCACGTGCCGTAGCCCAAAACGCAGTTATTCCCAGGAAACCTTGCACTGTGGATCGTAGCAGTGCCCTAAAGCCATTTCGCCTCGTGCTCGGTGGAAAAGGCGATGATAATTTTCCCTTTCTGCCCGGAGCGGGTGCGTAGTGTTGCTCAAGCTTCTCATCTGTGCTGCTGGAGTGGGCGGCACCTCTGCGGGAGAGGAGAGCCCTGCCTTTGTAAAGCGATTTGGGATCTTTTCCGGATGAAGAGCACGTTGAAAACATTCGCTGTCGCCGGCTAACCAGATGTGACTTAGCTGTTACACCCGATACCTGCATATTTCGGAGCCCGTCTAAGCTGCTCGGGTTCCTCTGTTCGCCCAGCTAAATTTTAAAGCAATGCAAAGAAGCAAAAGAAAAAAAAGAAAAACCACTGAGGTTATGTGGAAAACTAGTAATTAAGCAGTGTTTTGTCAGCATTTTTGGTTGTGATCCCATCTTAATGTGGTCGTCTCATTTGAATGTAAATGTCAAATTCCAGAACTCCTGTAGGAAAGCGATCGGGTGATATCCCGCTGGACTCGAGGTGAGTAAAGTGCAAGCTCAGGGGTTTCGGTTAACGCTCGGTTCTGCTCTTTTGCAGTTCGTCTGGTAGGTCTGAAAGGAGCGAGCTGATAACTTGAGCTTAAGAAAATAACCTTTTAGTGCTGAGGAGCAGCATCAAACTGCAGTCGGCCTCGGTGTGAAACCGGTCGGATGTGGAACAGCCGAGATTGCCGCGAGCAGCGTCTCGGGGAGGCAGAGGGCTTCCCTGGCTCGCACACGTGTTCAGCAGCACTTCT